AAACTTACTTGTTGATACTTTTCCCTATCTATCTCGTAAAACCGATATCAGTTATACCTGCACAGTTAAACGACATTCCTCTTCCACAGCTCCAACAGGAAAGATTATTTCGAGATCGCTCTCGTTTCCATAAGATCTCGGATAAACATACAGTTCATCAGGAACCACAATAATTTCCTCAGATCGTATCCTCGTCGTTGCAACTAATGTCGAAGTTTTTGTGATGCTGGCTTGTGCAACAGGTAAATACTCAAGGACATCACAGAAGTCAGAAACAGTTTTCTCTGGTAAATCTTAATTAAGTCAAAAACAAAAATTTGAATTTCTTATAGTATAAGTTTGAATTCTTATAATAATTGAATTTCTTACAGTATATCGATCTCTTTCTCCATTCCTTTTATCTTCTTCTCCTTTTCCTCCCCAATTCCTCTTCCTCTCCTTCTCTATCGTATCTTTTTATTTCTTCACTACCCACCCCCCCTCTTTTCCTTCTTTTTTCTATTCCCACTACTCCTCCTACCTCTTCTCCTCTTAGACCTCTTCCTCTCAATTTCCCTACCCACTTCTTCCCTGCCATCTGTTCCCTTCTATCCTTGCTTTTAAATCCTCTTCCAGCTTATACTTCCCCGTTTTTCTTCTCCTGATCATATATTTCCTTTTCCCCAATCCATCTTTACCTTCTTCCCTTCCAATGTTCCGGGTAAGTATTACTCTAGTGTCTTACCTTCAGGTTTGTCAAGTTGTTCTGTCTCTAAATCTTCAAATCCTTTATCCAATTTCTGAATGGTTAGATCATAATAATCAGCATAAGCACCGTCTTGAGCAGCACAGTGAGAGAGAAGAACTGTGACTGGTTTGTTAAAGACATAACCTTCAGGTTCCATTTTCACGATGCTGCTACAAAATACGTCTCCAGTCCTTGGTTTTACTTTACAGTCTTGGTGCCTTATACAACTGAGCCAGATAGAAATTGTATTTGCAACTGCTTCGGCTGGAAACTGAAAAAAGGCACTGGCAGCAGGAAAGGAAACACTTTGTCCCTGTTCATTAACGGTGAAGCTAGCAAACGAACAAAATGACACGACCATATGAGGGAGATTAAAATAAATATGGCAACTGTCAACTGTAATTAAGGTTCTTAAAATAGAATTTAAAAAACACGAGGAAGCGAAAATCAACACTGGTTCGGCAAGTTTCATATTTGATAAAAAATCATTCTGATTTACATTAACGTAAACTTTGATGTTCTTGGTTAAAAAAGCGTGAATCTTGAAAATTGCTACGTCAATTATGAGCTACTGAAGTCAAGTCGTTTTTTAATTTAATCCAGTTTCAAAAACCTTACAATTTTATTATTTTATTTTTTATCAGATCTAAAACGCCAACAGCTGTCATATTTTAAATGTGATAAAAAACTACTGCTTATGATTCTGAATAGTTGCATAACAACCATGGTCATTATTATTATTAATATTAGTATATTTAAAATAACATTTTGAAAACAAGTACGGTGATTGGTTGAAAGCCGTGTATAAACACACAGCAATACCTACGCCAAGCAATAAGCCATTAGAGAGTTTAAGTTCGACTTCCAATACCAATACCGATACCGATGTTTTCACTTTCGTTCTCATTTTGGTACCGGGAATTCTAAAGCGTTATGTTATCACGACAGATAAAGTATAAAACACATTAATCGTCACCGAAAATGTGCGGTATACTAAACGGCAGCTGAGCTAAAATTCCGACTAAAACATGACTCAGACCACGCTAATAAACAAATAGTTTACATGTTTATCGTAAAAATTATGAAATATCCGATTTATATGAGTTTATCTAACAATTCTCCCGACTTCCAATACAAGGCCGACTTCGGTAGTGGTGACTTCCAATACACTTGTCCTCGTCTTTCTTGCGAGCAGAGAGCATGCGCATGACATGTTATTAGTGTCGGTATTGGTATCGGAAGTCGAACTTAAACTCTATTATGAACGGTAAGGAGGACTTAACTTTGACACAGTGCTAGTTTATTCGTTTTACCTGTTTCCTATAGGTTATTTTATAAACGGGCTCGTGTTTACTGGTATTTCTATAACTGTATGGAAACACGGGAAATGTTTTCTATTTCTTAAATATAACTATTATTAATTACTTCTGCTCGACAATGTCTCTATTGCTTGTCTGTTTGACATGTGTTTGTTTTTTGTCAGAAGTAATTCAAAAAGAATTCATAAACTTGTTAATAATTCAGGAGCAAAATATATCGTGTCTTTAATACGATAATCGAACACTCGATATTTAGGGCTCCATTTCGTCCTCGGCATGTGCTAGCGTGGGCAGAAAATTTATTGTTTTCATCCACTTTGGGAATTGAAATATTTCTCATTTCAATTCCCATTGAGCACTTCGCCAGCACGGGTAAAGCAAACATAATGGCAAACAGCCGTTTTGTAGAAAAAATGTTTGGATTCCAAGTCTTTTTCCCACATAGGACATTTTTCACAGGTTAGTTAATTAACTCAGCTTGTGTTGTATCCCAAGTATACTCACATTAGAGCAATGCTCACACTCTGACCTAGACAAGGCACTCTTCAGAGGCTGGTTACCCCAACTTGTGTTCTTTCATAAAATCTTATCACATCATTTTCAACTGTTCTCAAAAAAGTACTTTTGAAATAAATATTCAGCACGCAATTTAATCTAGTTAAAAATGGATCATAGAAACTCACTTGATTCCAGGCCCAACAGCTTGTTCCAGTTGGTTGGTTACTCTGGGTGCTATATGGACCATGAAACAAAAACTCAAGTTAGTTTAAAGTATGCATTTTAACAACACATCCATTTTAAAAACTGTATATTTCGAATCTATTTTGATTCATCTTCAGCAGTATATTTACAAGATATGGCGTAAAAGAGCATGCATTTAATTAAATTAAGGTTATAATTACGTGTCAGTTTATGCTTAAACAATAAAAGCGAATATAATTAACGTTCAACCTAGACAACGCTATGCTGTTGTTCTGGTCAGCGGTTATCCTAATTCCCTACTAGTTTTTAGTCCATTATTTAAAACAGGTTTGCGTCGTTTGGTGTCTTTTTTGTTGTTTTTAGTTTAAAGTCATCTATTATATTTTTACTGTTTCTACTTTTAACTAGTATAACTAGACGAGAACAGGACATAAACATTTTGTATGTTGATTTGAAGCAATTGTCAACATATAGAGAAATAACGTCCAATGTTTCAAACGTCATCATATGACATCATACAGTACAATAGTCAATAATACTAAGCAGACGAAATATATTCACCAGAAGGGGATGTGTCTTCAAAAGGAACATGTCTTCAAAAACAAGAATTGCGCTAATACTATTCTTGCTCGCTTCATATTTTAGAACTTCCAATTGTAGTGCCAGGACACTTACTATAATATTAATTAGGAACGTTGTTGTTAACGTTTTTTTTGTTTTGAGGGAGGAATATGTTTGTTAAAGTTCAAATTTGGAAGATAAATCATTGCGTAGTTTATATAGTTAGTTGTGATATTTCCAATTTCTCCGCGCACCCTAAAGGCTTTGCAATTCTTGAAAGCCTGCACGGAATGGAGAGGTGGCAACCGGGTGTTGTGGAAACGGTTGCGCCTACCAACATTTATCGACAAAAATACCAATGAATTATCAAATTCACAAGAAACCTGTTTTGAAACGCCCTACTCCCTCCCCCCCCCCCCCCCATATATGCTTGTGCAGCTAGTCCACCCTCAAGAACTTGCTACTGCACTGCCATGCCTAACATCACAATCCCCACAAGAATAAATTTTACTTTGTTCGTATAGTTAAGTAATGGCCTATTAATAAATTGCATTAGTGTTTTTAGTCGTTTAAGACTCGTATGTCACTCGTTTTCCATTCGTGTTCACTCGTGTTCACTTGTGTTTACTCGTGTTCCATTGCTGTTCACTCGTGTTCCATTGCTGTTCACTCGAGTTAATTCGTGTTCACTCATGTTCTGACTCGTGTGGACTTTTACATCAGATTCACTTGAATTTTGAAAATGTATAAACAGTTATGCTGCCCGAACGTTGAAAAGCTATACGCAACGCAATAGAAAACATCAGTTGCAAGCTCCCCCCGGATTGATTACTTTATTATTTTATTGATCTCTTACTCGATTGAATTAATCTTCAGCCATAACAATAGTGCAAAGCAACTTTGCACTAAAAAGCAGTTAAGTTGAATACGAAGCGTTTCGTGTCGGCGTAATTCGGAATACTTCATGTTGAAACAATTTTTGGAAAACAAGGGCGAGTTGTGCTGCATGCATGAATTGCTAGTATTTTTCTATATGAGACAATATATGATACTAGAAGGGTTTAGAATTGACTCCATTACCGCCACATCTCACTGGCTCAGTACCCAACTGATTGGTTAAACGCATCTATTCTTTACGTTCGGAACAACATTTATGTGAACATGCATATTACCCATACTGTACCGTTAGTGAAGTACTCCTTAAGGTCTGGTCGCTCCTTCCAATCACAGGACCTGACAATTCTGTGCACCTTGACAGGAAGATTGGGGAAAAGGTTAAGGAAGTACTCTTGGGGATCATCCACTACATAGAATGCTTCGGGTTGCGGCATAGGATGTGGTCTGTCATGCCAGTGTTGGTCGACATTTCGGATAAATCGTAAACACTCTGTCCACGACGATTTGTAATCAAATGTTTTTGGTTCCCCTTCTATGAAATCGGTATATAAATACTTCAAAACGTCTGGTCTCATCCGAGTTTTCCAATTTGTGGGGTCATTATTCAACTCCCGTACGACAGCTGAGTTGCTGTCGCCCGCCTTTATCTCTTGTTGGTTTCCCATTTTGCATAACATTTCAAACTGCTGTTTCTTAGACTGAAGGTAGGGGTGTTTCAGCGCTTCTTCAGCCGACGGTCGATCATTGGGATCGTGGCTCAGCATCCACGATACTAAATCTTTCAAGACAGGATTCTTCAGCGTATCCAAGCCAACTGGTTTATCATCAAGTAAGTTACGAAGTCGGTCAGGTCTTTTTCCAAACGGATGTTCACCTTTTGTCACAATGTAAAATACCACCATTCCAGCTACCTAAGTATGACAGAGGCAAATTGGCTCTATTATCCTTAGAGATACGAAAAAATATTTTCATAAAAATTGTGAGACAGCACAAAAATAGGTACGCAGTGCGTACATGTTGCATGCCATCTGAAACTTAGCCTAAATACAGACCTTCGTTTTGCTCGCCCTAAAATTCGAGGGTGGGAGGCGCAAAACGAAGGTCTGATGAAAATCATGTCAAAACGCTGTGAAATCTGACCGCCTGGTGGTCGAAATATGACCGCCTGAAAAGATCAGAATATATTTCAACGGTATTCTCAACGCATATACTATGCATATAGTGTAATATTCTAAATATTTTGTGAAGCCGAACGATAAATAGCTAACAGTATCTACCGTCTAAAATTAAAACTAGAGCGAGAGTAGA